CAGGCCCAGCCTGGCTTCTCACTAGCTGGGAGAATCTGGGCAAGCCCCTCCCCCAACTCTGGGCCACATCTTCTCCTTTTGAAAGACTTGATAGCACAGAAGCTGCCAGAAACTTTCTGCTGTCATGTCTCTCTCCCCTGTGATGCATGCACATACGCCCACCTGTGCACACCCCCTTCTCCACAAGTCACCTACCACCCCTTCACTTTGCTCCCTCCCCTGAAGGTTCTGTTCCCTGATGGCTGATTCCCCACCTCTGAGCCTATGCACACCCCTCCTGTCCGGCCTAAACCGCTCTAACCCCAACCAGTCTCTTCATTTCACCTTGTTTGGTTCTTGACTCGAAACTCATCTCCTACAGAAAGTCCTGGATTGCTCCCCAGCTGTACCACCCCCGACATACGGTTTTACTCTTCAGCCACATTTCCCTCCAGAGCTGGATTTAGGTCACTTCAGAGCAGTTAGATGGTGTGTCCCCCAAAATAAACACTCTTCAAGGAGAGGGGCTGGGTTTTCAAATCTTGAGCCTCCCCTCCCCTAGCCCTGCACAGTACCCAGGCTGTGGTGGGCTGTTACAGGGGTATCAGGAGACCCTATAAGTGAAGTCTTGGTTCACCAGCTTTCTGCCAGGACCCACACAGCTGCTCTTCCTGAGCCAACATTTCTGAGAGGAGCAGGGAGACCTCGAAAAACTGGGATAGGACCTTATCTCTCCAAGTAGTAATCACCCCATAAAACTTGTGTTTATTTGGTTGCTGGCAGGTCCCTCTTCCTGGAGGTAGGAAGCTGTTATTCTTGGAAATACCAGCCCAGGCTTGGGCCAGGGCACCCCGAGGCAAGAGGTGATCTCCCAAACTCCAGCATATCAGGGAGCCTGGAATGCATGAGGCAGGCCTGCAGGGGCCATGGTGTGGACCCTGGGGGGCCTGGCTTATGTTAGGGCAGTGGGGGGTGGGACGGAGCACCCGCCTGGAGTTGTCACTCAGCCCCTGCCTGCGCTCTATCAGGAGAGACAGCCAATCTGTCCATGGCCTGACTTGCATATCTGCTAGACGCCAGGTACCCCAGGATATCTCTGATCTGAAGAGCAGATATGGGCCAGGCAGGGTTTGGAGGGTTTTGGCCATAGGTCCCAGAGACAGGCAGGAAAGGAGGGGGCAGGTCTAGCAGGAAGTCCCTAAAGATGAGACACTGGTTTGGGAGGTAATCACCAAAGGAAAGAAGCCCGTCTTCAGAGCTGCCAAGGCAGAGAGCGACCTCTCAGGGAATGGAGAAACTCAAAGCCGGCTGAGGAGGGAGTGCAGGGAAAGCCAGAGGCACTGAGGGATCCAGGCCACGGAGGTGGAGGGTTGAGGGGGGGTAGGCAGTGAGGAGGACAGGGAAGGAGACTGACCCTGGGACTCTATAGGGCAGCAGGCGGATCCCAGAGGGGAGGCCACTGAATGAGGGTATAGAGCAGCGTGCCTACTTCCAAAGATATCTTAGATGGATCTCTTGTTTTTACACAAAAAAGAAATCAGTTTCAGAAGAACAAAACAAAGAGATATTTTAATCTGCTAATTGAATTCAGGGGCCATCATCAGTGTTTGAAAATGCCCAGGGATTATGGTGATTTACAGCTCGGACAGGAATCTGCTGGGGCCTCGGCCTTATCCGAAGTACCAAGAGGAGCCTGCTGGGAGATCCAGATGCAACTGAAAATACTGCCTGAAAACCCATTTATAGTCCAAGAGGGGTAATAGGGCCAGGCCCAGTGAGACCGCCTGGGCTGTGCCCCAAGGTGGGACCCGTCAGATCACTCTCCAGGCCACTCTCTAGGCCCTGGAGGTTTGGAAGCCCCATCTCCCCTAGCATGTCCCCTTTACCACCCCCTTCCCAGCCCTTTCTGGAACTTCTGGACCCAGCCTAAGCCCCCTTCTCCAAGAAGCCTTCCTGGCTCCAACCTCCCTCACTGACCTCAGCCTCCTCTGACTTACTGCCTCCCTCCATACTAAACCTGCTGGAGGTTTATCCGGGAAGGTACTGCTTTTGGCATCAGAACACCCAGTTCAAATCCCAGCCCCACCACATCCCTACCTGGGCAAGCCAAGCCTTCCATGGGTCTCAATTTTCTTCTTGACAAATGGGGATGAAAAACACTCTGTCCAGGGCCAGCTGCTGAGGTTAAATGAAATAGCTGGATGGAAACCATCTCGGCAGATGGAGAGGATCCTATGACCACAGCACTAAACAATTTACTGTCTTCTCTTGCGTTATGCTCTGATTGTGTCTGGAGTGCTTGCTTTGTCTCCTTAATTTCTCAGTGAGGCTGGGCTATCTGTGAGCGAGGCTGGGTCTACCTCACTCCACTTTCCTTCATCTAACAAGTTACCTGCCCTTCCCACCACTCTCCCCTACCGAGCTCCCAAATAAGCCTTGGTGTCCTCCACGCACCAGACACAAGGTTCTACTCTGGAGAGACATCCAGTGGGGTAAGACATGGTTTCACCCTCAAAGCCTTTCCCCGTCTTCTGCAAGACCTATGGATGGACCAAAAAGCTCAGCCAATGCCTCAGTGCTGAGAGAAGCCCAGGCACCATGTGGTGGGACACAAGAGAGAAGAGAACTCAGCTCCAGAAGGCTTCAGGGAGGAGGTGGCTCTTGAGCTGGGCCTTAATGCCAGAGTGGGATTTTTGACCTTTGGGGACAGTAGGAAAAGGCATTCTTTGCTAGGAAAGGGGAAAGCGGGAATGCTGTCCCTACTTCCTTTACCCCCGTCCCAACAAGGCTATAATTTTTTTTAAGAGGTGAGATACTCTGTCTCCCACCACGTGGCCCAGCCCTGGGTGAAGTCGCAGTGGTATTCATGACCTCTTTACAGATGAGAAGCCTGAGGCTCAGACAGAAGTGTCCAGGCTGGAGCATAGACTCAGGTTCTGGAACTCCAGTGCCTGGAAGTGTGAGGCCCTAAGGATATCAGAGCAGCCGAAGGTGTTCACTTGAACTTTAAGTTTAGCTTTACCCTCTCCAGGATGGGTGGGGAAGACTGACGGTAGTTGAGGACCTACTGTGTGTTAGCTGCTTCACATAACTCGGCTCTTTAAGCCTCCAAAAGAACCCTGAGGGGTGCCTGGGTGGCTCAGTCGTTAAGCGTCTACCTTCGGCTCAGGTCATGATCCCAGGGTCCTGGGATCGAGCCCCGCATCTGGCTCCCTGTTCGGTGGGAAGTCTGCTTCTCCCTCTGCCACTCCCCCTGCTTGTTGTGTTCCCTGTCTCTCTGTGTCTCTCTCTGTCAAATAAATAAAATCTTAAAAAAAAAAAAAAAAAAAAAAAAAGAAACAAAAACCCCTGACAACAGTTATTTATTATTACCTAGCCCTTTTTACAGATAAGGAAACTGAGGCCCCACAGCTATTACAGGGTGAGGCCAGGAGCCCACCTGGGGCATAACCACTGCCCTTTCTGCCTCCAGGAGGTAAGAGGCCCCACAGGAGCACCCATTTCACAGAGCGAAAGGAAAGCAGATCCTTCTCGGGCAGCCTGGGCTCCCTTCTTCACTCAGTAAGACTTGGTAGAACCTGCTTTCAGGCTCTTAACTTGTCCACGTGAATGCAGAAACACTCGTATTGAGTTCAAAAACAGAAAGTTCCCAAACTCTTAATTAATAAAAATAGCCTCCTGATGTTTGGAAGTCAACAGAAAGCCTTCTGAGAATTACTCATTTGTTTTTACTTTCACCGTCTGTTTTACTCAAATGAAGGTATTTTGAAAAGAGCTTCACTGTTTCTTGGCTCTGAAGCCAGAGAGGAACGAAAGAAAAAAGGAGGGTTTTCCACGGTCTCATGGCGTTTTTCTCCGCGGGGAGAAGGGGGCGGGCATGGCAACTGGGAGGAGCAAGCTCAGGCTGGACATTGACTGTGCCGGGCGCTTTACTTACAGCCTCTTGAACTTCCCTTCATCTTCCCACCAACCCATTTCATAGGTGGGAAAGCTGAGGCTGCTACAGGCTCTGCCTGGAGACACAACCACTTCGCCCGTGAGCTGATGTGTACCCAGAGTCTGTGTATGCGCATGCACACACACTTGTCAGCACATGCACGAGTGAGCAAGCTGAGAGTGATCCTAGACTGGGAGTCAGATGACCTGGATTCTAGTCCCAACTCAGCCACCAAGTCCATGTGTGACCCTAGGAAGCCTGAGACTCTCCAAGGCCCCTTCCAGCCCTGGCACTTTAGAGTCACATGCGCCCTCGCCAGGAAGCACGGCACCTTAGCACCCCAGGCTGCCTTCTGATGCCCCTCCTTGGCTCCCACTGCACAGATGCCCTCTCACTCCCCTGAAGCCGACCTACTCACACTGGGCACCCAGGAGTGGCCAGAAAAGTCTTAGCCACCCTAGTGCCTTCTGCTCTCCCCCCTTACCCCTTTGACTACATCCCTGCAAGAAGCATTAGGATGGGATTGGGCCTCCTGGGGGGCTACCGAGCCCAGGGGCCAGGGGCTCACTTGGGACTGAGTGCTAGCCGCCCCCCGCCCCGCTCACCTGCTGCGCCTCCTGGGGCCAATGACTCAACCTCCCTGAGCTTGAGTCTCGCCTCCACGGGTGCCACTAACAGAGTCAGCCTCCCAGGGTTGCTATGAGAACAGCAGTAAAGAAGGGCCTGGCCCGTGGTAAGTGCTCACTAAACTGTGGTGTCAGTGATTAATATTCATTTCTTCCTGGAGGTGGAGGGTCTTTGAAGCTGCTGTTTCTGATGACGATTATGTGCTGCTTGAAGGCACAACCTGAGGGGCCTTGGAAGGCAGGAACCCCACCCCGAAGCCCCTTGCCCCAGCTGTGGGCGCAAAGGATGGGTGCGCTCTGCAGGCACACCAAGGCTCCCCGAGCTGTCCCCGTGCCCACTTGGCCGGGGCCCTGCCAGTGGGGGAGGGGTCCCAGTGCCTGATGGGATGGAGCAGCGTCAGACCCCAGCACCCGGAGGGGGGTGCTGCGCCTGAGGGGCGCAGGGAGCGGGCACTCACCAAGCAGCTGCACGCCCCGCGTGAGGCCGTAGACGTCCACCAGGGCCCACAGCGGGTCGGCCGTGCGGACCCCATTGAAGAAGAGCATGGCAGCTGAGTCATTGATGCGGTAGAACACACGGCCCTTCTTGTCCACCCAGAAAGCGATGATGTTGCCCTCGTTGGCAAACTCCTCAGGCAGCGCCTTGGCCCAGAAGCCGCTCTGGGACACCAGGTCCGGGCAGGCGTACTTGGGCAGCGAGTCAGGGTGGATGCGGGACGGGTCCTTGCTTGTGAAGCCCAGCCGCAGCGCCCCACTCCAGCAGCACTGCTTCTTGGTGATCTGGATGGGAAAGAGAGCCTCAGAGGGTACTGGCCGGCCCCGGCAGGCAGGGAGGGAGTGCGTCCTTCCCAGCAGACCGCCACGCCCCTCCCCGCAGACTCCCCTGGGGAGTCACACCGCCCAGCCGGCCTCCTTTCTCTCCTCTGAGAGCCTTCCCACCGTCTGGTGACAGCTCATCGTGGTCCCCATGGCCACAGCCCTCCCCCATCCCTTCTTTGTCCCACAGGAGGAAGAGGGCAGAGCATGAGGAGGGGTGAGGAAGAGCAGAAGTGGCAGCACAAGAGAAGGGCAGGGTGCCGGAAGGGCCGGAACAGAGGGCAGTGCTGAGCCCTGGGGACGCGCAAGGAGCAGCGAGGGAGGCCCCACCTTCAGCCTGACTTGCTCGTAGATGAGGACTGGGCGGTTGCTGAAGGTGATGGCATTGCAGAAGCTGGCCTGCCTCTTGACGGCCTTGTGGCTGAGGTCCATGAGGATCTGGGAGCCCTTGGTGTGCGGGTGGAAGAGCAGCGGCGTGGCCGGGGGCCCCCCGCCAGGCAGCACCGGAGGGCAGTGCTTCTGCTTGTGGTGGCATCGGTGAGAGGTGACAGGGAAGGGGCCGCCAATGGAGTCTGCAAAGGAACGAGCCGTGAGGTCAGAGTGCGGCAGAGAGCCCTGGAGCGGCAGAGGGCTGGGCGCAGCGCAAGGCCCAGGACGTCCACCACCATCACAATTGGCCCCCATCTCTTGCCGTGCCCCGCTTCACCACCTACCACCGTGTAGCATCCATCACCATTGGCACTGGTCCCCCACCCATCACCTCCCACCACGGGCCTACCAGCTGCGGCCACTCACCAGTATTTCCCACCATCTACCCTCCACCGGCCCCCCTTTGTGATAAGTCAGCATTTACTGCCCACACCCACCACCATGCCCTGCCACTCACCACCACCATCATTTATTTTATTCAACAAATATTCATGATGCATCTACTGAATACCAAGCCCGGCCCTCGGCACTGGGCATAGAGGCATGAAGCATACATGGATCCGTTCTCAAGAAGACAACAGTCCAGCAAAGGAAGGAGGACATACCCAGGAATCACAACAAAAATGGCAGACAGGGATTAGTGCCCAAAGGATGGGACGGCAGGTCCCTTCCCAGGAAAGCCTCCTGGAGGAAGGGAGAGGAGGAGAGGGCATGGTTGCTGGACTGACAAGGCTGAGCTGCCAGGAACAGGTGACCTTGGAGCTGCCCTTGGAGACCAGCAGGGCGGGTGGGGCAGCCTCTGCAGCTTCAGCCCCAGGAGTACGCCCACCGCTTCCCTCCTTCAGGGCCACCCCCCTCCACCTCCGGCCGCCTTCCTGCTTTGCACCCCCCATACCCACATCTTCCACACAGGTGGGCCTCCACACCCGGAACTTGGATCTGCCTCAGGAGCGTCTGGCCGGGGGGGCACGCTGCTTTCTTCTTCAGATAACTCTACCGTACCCCCAAATAGGACAGAGTACAGGACAGGGCGTGGTCCGGGGGAAGGCACGTTACAAGCATGTGGGGTTGGTGTCCAGGAGACGGGGCAGAGAGAGGAAAGAACATGGCCGAGGTGTCAGGTGGTTTGCATGTCTGTCACTCACTGGCTGTGTGACCTTAGGGAAGTCACTTCCCTGCTTCAGCACAAGGGGTGGCTGGAGCCCTAAGACATGTCTCGGCAGCACTGGTAGTGTTAATGCAGTCTTGGCAGCTGGGGACAAGGAGAGATGTTCATTTCCTCCCCAAGATCTGTGTCCTGTCCATCAGAAGGGCAGCCCCTGCCCTGTGCCATCAACTTGAGGAAAGAGACATGGAGGATGGGGAAGATGGGGTTGAGGAAGTAGAAAACCATAGAATGTGACAGAGGCCTTCTGGAATGTGTCAAAGTTTGGTTCCTCCAAGGCAGTGACTTAATAATGCAAAAAGCACAATCAGTATCAGGCCTGCTCGGAGGTCTTCCACTCCCTGAAGAGGAGGAGAGTTTTCCAGGGAGGAGAGGAAGACAGGAAGGGAGGAGGAATGTCCTGAGCTAGGAAGACCCAGACTTTAGTCCAGGCCATGTTTGCATAACTTTGCATCACTTTGCATCACTTTGCATCACTTTGCATCTTTGCTTCCTTCTTCCCAAAGGGCCCCAGACACCAGTGTCCATGGTCCATGACCAGCCAGACATCCTGTGTGTGGGAGGCGGGGTTGGAACAGGAGGAGCTCCCCTTGCTCTCACCAAGGAGAAAAGACTGGAATCACAGAACAGTACTCAAGGCCTTTAAAGCCACCAAGCAATGAAGGCTGGAATTGCCCAGAGGGGACCCAGTCAGTCTGGGAAGGATACCTGGAAGAGGCTGAGTGGTCCCTGGATAGTGCAGAGCCAAGGAGATCATTCCAGGGAAGGGAATGGTTGGGGTGAAGCGCAAAGGGTGGCCAAAGGGAACCTACAGGTGCCCTGCCTGGGAGAGGTGCCCTTTGGGATCAGGCCAGCCTCAGGCGCAGCTTGACTGCTGGTTTAAAAAAATATCTGCTGGGTAAATGGATTAGAGATTGTGGTACGGCTATACAATGGAATATTACTCATCAGTAAACAAGGAATGAACTACTGATACGAGTGGCAACATGGATGAATTTCAGAATAATTATGCTGAGTGAAATAAGCCAGTTTTTAAAAAATAAGCAAACGTAATCCATGGAGTAACTGCAGGGCCTCTGTTCCTTTCAACCCCCCCTCCTGCCTACACTCTGTCCCATTTGTCCAGATCTAGGAAATGCACACTAAGGGCTAGTGATAACAAGTTAGACTGAAGGTCACCTGGGGATGGTGGGGGAGAGAGGGAGGGATTGCCAAGGGGCACAAGGGAATGTTTGGGATGATGGATATGTTCACCATCTGGATCGTGGTGACAATTTCATGGGTGTATACATATGTAAAAACCCACCCAATTGTACACTCTGAACACACGTGGTTGAGCGTATGTCAATACACCTCAATAAAGCAGTTTTTTAAACCTGCTGAGCCCAGCAGCTGATTACAGCCTCTCCCATGGGACTCTTCCCCAACTTCCACTCAGAATCCATGGACCAACCGCAGGACCTCAGCTTCCTTCACAATGCTTCCTCTCCTTCCCACCCACCCTGGGTGGGGTCCTAGGGTCCTGCATAAAGACCCAGAGAACACCGGCTCTGGGCAAATATGGTGGAGACACCCAGGGGCCAGAGACCCAGGCCCTGGCAGGACCATTCCCCCAGCGCTCCCTTCCACAGGCAAGGGTAGCACAGGCCCAGCCACCCTGGCTGACAGCAAAACAGATGGAGAAGGAAGGTTAGGGAAACCCTGGACCCTGGGGACACAATGGACACCCAGACATGTGGCCTCAAAAGGGCACATTCATCGGCACACACAGACACCTACGAGCACATGAAGGTACTCCAGACCCTAGGAGACATAGACTTAGCCCTTCCCTCATCCCTTGGGCCAGGAATCACACATTTACACACGTACTGTGCACACACACATACTCATGTCCACAGGGATGAACGAAACAGCACGCATAAGACGCACGCCCAGCACACATGGGCCACACACATCTAATAATAATGGCAGCCATTTCTCAAATGCTGCTGCAGGCCCAGCCCCGAACGGGCAGTTGATGTACACTCACCGGTTTCAGCCTCACGGCAAACTCTAAGACGGACAGAGGGACATCACCAGCCTATACGACTGGTGGAGGAGCTGAGCCGCGGAGACACTGAGTGGCTTGCCCACGGTCACCCGGCCGGCACAGAGAGGCTCCAGCAGTCGAACGCAGCAGTCCCGCAGCACGGCCTGCGGCTTAGCCACGAAGCGTGGATAGCCAAGACAGCATGGCTTTGGTGTGCTGGACACATTCTTCTAAATGTGCATTAAAATAGACTCGCGACTGGTAAAACCTGGGGGGGCATGTTCCTCCACATGCCGGGTAAAACCACTTCGAGTAGCACACTGGCGGAGACGCGGCATTCTGCCACGCCGCGTTCACGATACACGTGTGCGGCCGCCAACACACAGAAGCACAAACCGTGCTGCCCACGTTACCCTCCTCCCCCGACACGGCTGGGTATGAAATGTGGTGCGTGCGCACAAGGCATCCCACTCTGCGACCTCAGTGAACGAGCTATGACGTAACGAGGGGGAACCTCAGAACCATGCTGAGTGAAAGAAGCCAGCCTCAAAGCCTACCTACGCTCTGATGCCATTTGTAGGACATTCTGGAACAAGCAAAACTACAGAGCTTGAACGCTCCGTGGGAACTGGAGTTTGGGGAAGAGGAGGACACGGGGGCACAAAGGGAGCTTTTATGGCGATGGAAATGTTCTTTATTTTAACCGTGGCAGTGCTCCCACAGCTTACACATTTGTCAGGACGCCCCAAACTGTACACTTAAAAAAGATGAGTTTTATTGTCTACAAATAATTCCTCAAAAGCAACAACAACAACTCACAAACCAGGTCTCCACTGAGATGGAGGAAAGCGAGGCTGGAATCTCTGACCACCACAGCCCCCATCAACCCACGGCCGGCAGTGCCCAGGAGGTGGCCCATTTAACAGGAGACCCCGAAGCCTGGTTGGGCTTGCCACTCTCAGCCTCAAGCTTCTGAAGCGGGTGTGAGGGGAGCGTTTTGGCAGCTACAGAGCACCTTCACTGACTCCTGGACCTGCGAAATCTCGTGCCTGCCTCCTCCTGCCCACAGTGTGGCTCCCGAGGCTGTCCCCGGAGCTGTCCGCAGCCCCTTCTCTCTGCACTCAGCTCTGAGTAATCAATGCCCACCGAGCCACCTCTGTGGAGATGACGTGAAAACCCTCTCTGGCCTGCTGGGTATCTCAAGTGACCATGGTCACCTGCCACTTGGCAGGCCCCCAGCTGAGCTCCTGACCCTAGCCCACCAACCGCCCATGCTCCCAGGCCCCAGTGGAATCACTGAGCACCCCACATCCAACCAGCCAATCCCACCTGAGAAATAAACCTGCCTGGGCTCTGCCCGCTCCCGTCCTCCCCACCTCAACCCAAGGCCCTGGCCCGGCCTCAACGCTTCTCCTTTAACAAGGGCCAGGGCCACCGCTTAAAGCCACTAAGGCTCTCCCTGCCTGCCTCCAGGGGGCGCCATTCACACAGACTACAAAAGGAATGGTGCCCTCTGAGGCATCCAACATGGTGGTCCTCACCAGGATGTTTGCTGCCTCCCCAACCCCTGCTGTCTTTGCCCACCATCTTCCTGCTCTACCTTGGCTTGCATTATGGTCTTGGGGGAGGGAGGAGAGAAAGCAGAATGAGAATTAACCCTGAGCACAGCTCTGATATCAAGGGCCAGAGGGGCGGCTGGGGGCAAAGCTTCTTCCCTACACCATCCAAAAGGGCTCTCTCCCTGCACTTCAACAGACACTTTGACCCTTAAGGTCTCCATTCTATGGATGAGTTACGATTCAGACTGGTTAACCAACTTGCTTGAACTCACACAGCAATTAAGTGGCAGAGCTGGGACTTGAACCCTCATCTTCCAATGCTGCTACCCTACTCAGCATCTAATACTAGAGCCCATTTTCCCCATGAGTCCAAGATGGCAGGCGTAGTGG